AGAGAGAGAGAGAGACGAGGGAGAAAAAAGGATAAAGAGACCACGTCTCTAAGTCGATCGGTTCGACTTCACAAATCGTTTATCGTTAGAACTATACCGAATGTCTTTAAAAAAAAATCTACTGCCGATTTCACAGGAGAATGAAAAGATCAGCTTCTCTTTTTCGATCCAAATACAGAAATCCCCGCAAGAAATATCTTCGCTTAAGTTAACAGCAGTAAATAAAAATTTAGCATGCAGAAAAAAATTCTCGCAGAAATATTATTACAATTATACCATTTTAAATAGTGTAGAATCGCTTTAAAATCTAAAAAGAAGGATGCTTTATAGAATCCTTCAATGCTTACAAGACTAATTACAAAGCAACGTCGTAACTCCAGTACTTATTCAAGCCAACAAACATTTATAACATACAAGTAATAAATTGTTTTCATCTTAATTTTAGAGTGACATTGTTTAAAAAGGCGAAATTTCTCCAGACACGTTCATCCCCTCAAACTAAAAAAAAAAAATCATTGTTTTACAGTCACCCTGTACAGTACTGCAAGGCGCATAATTACGCGAATTGTAGCGGTGCAAAAATCGAGAAAAGTAGCGTGTTTGAAAGCGCACGGGAGTAGATCCGGTTTCAGGGTTAGGACCGATCAGGGTTAGATGGTATCGGCCGGAGCTCTTGCATGCGCCTAACATGCCCGGGGATATCCCGGCAATGCGTAGGATTGGACGCTGCCATGTGGGTGTTAATAAAACTGTTTTCGGCTCGGCATACAATATAAAATATCCCTGATGTAGATACAGATATAATGTAATAGAATATTTGTTATGTACACAAAGGTTAGAAAAATGTTTTATATTATACTTCCATGATATCTCGCAAATTTGCTTTATCTTGAGAATATCTTTCCTACAGCTTTTTACTAGGTGACTATAAAATTGAGAAGAAACGAGAAAAGTATCGGGAAAAAGATTTTTTATTATATTCATAAAAAAAAATTACTTAAATAGAAAAAGTTGAAATTATTTTCTGCGACATAAAGAAAATCGAGTTTTGTTGTTCTTTATTATATGAGATTTAATTATTAAACAAAGTTTAAGTACTTTTGAATAATTTATATTAAACTTTTATATAGAACTCTGCGCAGCTGTAAATTAGAATTGAAATTCATACTGATGTTTCTATTCACGAAAAATAAAAGATTTTGATCAACTCTGTTTCCTAAACTTTATCTATAGAAAAGCAATCTTAAAAAACAAAATAACAAATATCAACTAAATACATATTGAGTGCACAGTTGATATTATTTTATATTTGTATATATATATATATATATATATATATATATATATATATATAA